CCCCTCTTGTGAGGAGAAAGTCCCGCTCGTTACTGCCTCGTGTTTCCTCATGAATGGTTTACTTTTTTCCTTCCTTTACTTTTTCAGGAGAGAAAGGAGGCCTGGTGTCGGTTGGGTACGGAGATGATGACTTCACCCGCTTGGATGGGGATGAGGAGGGGTATGAAGAGGAGGATGATGAGAACAGCAGGCAGTCAGTAAGTACCTCTCTGCTCTGAGAGCTTGCTCTGATTCATGTGTTGCAGAGGACTTTCTCTCTCCAAATAAAGCCCCCTGAATAGCAACCCATGGTAGAACCTGGAATATCTGACTCCTGGCAGGGGTTTCAGCACTTTCCAAATTTTTCTCTTGGCTTTGTTAGAATTATAGAATGGTTTGGGTTGGAACAGACCTTAGAGATCATCCAGTTCCACCCTCCTACCAGGGGGGACACCTCATGGGTAGGGACACCTCCCACTAGCTCAGGTTGCTCAAAGCCTCATCCAGCCTGGCCTTGAACCCCTCCAGGGATGGGGCATCCACAGCTTCTCTGGGCAACCTGTTCTACTTCTCAAGTAGAAAGCATTTGCCTGGAAACCCATCAGCAGCTTGGCACAGCTCGTGTTGTTACTAACTGTGTTGGTGCAGTTTGACTCTTTTATGGGAAAAAGGCTGGTACAATTCAACAGCCACATTAAATGAAAATTATTCTTTAAGTGTCACTGTGTATGAGAACCTTGTAAGAGGAACACACTGTTGCATGGTCAGTTGGAGGATTAAAAAGAATGAAGTTCTGTGATGTCTTACATTGTGACTTTGTGTCTAACTCAACCCACGCGCTACATCAGGTTACCTTGATGTAACAGTGTCCTGTCTAGATGTGCGGCTTTTGCTTGGGATAGGTGCATGGTGTGTGTATAACATCACCTACACGCTGAGGTCACTGCTGCCTTCTGAGACAGGGCATGTAGCTCACCACCTGAGTGCAGCTGTAACACACAAAAGGATGTTTGGTTCTGTCCTGTGTCTGTAGGAGCAAAACAATAAGTTTTGGGGGGGTGTGTAGGGAGGAGGTTCTTGTCTGCTTTCTTTCTCATTAACCTTTTGCTTACCACCACATTAAGAGTGTGTTAGTGTGTTAGCGTGTCCCTGTTCTAGTTCTTTCTTCTACTATATATAGCCAAAAAAAAAGGGCTATGTTACTGTAATCTTTTCTCACTGAAATCTGCTTTGTGTGCATTACAGCAGTCTCTTACGAGACACTTACTGTGTCTGCCATCTGTTTTCCCAAACCTTTTGGTTACCACCACATTAAGAGTGTGTTAGCGTGTCCCTGCTCTAGTTCTTTCTTCTACTATTATAGCCAAAAAAAGAGGGCTATGTTACTGTAATCTTTTCTCACTGAAATCTGCTTTGTGTGCATTACAGCAGTCTCTTACGAGACACTTACTGTGTCTGCCATCTGTTTTCCCAAGTAGCAGACAAGAAATTTGTCAGTCTCTTGTTTGTGCTTTTAGTTTTGTTTTGTTGCTAACTGGGAAAGGTGCAAGCAGTAGTGTTCAGGGTCTGCACCGGCATCGTGCTGAGCAAAGTAGTGAAGCTTCTTCACTTTAGTACTTTACTTTTGTGATTCTTTTTTTTATATCCAAAACTTCTAGCCCTTCCTTCAGTGAGATCTCTTACTTTGAAGGAAATGGTAGGTGTGATGCAGATGCTTGTCAAAATGAGCTGTGTTTAGTTAGCGTTGACAAATGGGCACGTGAACGGAGTAGCCTTTGTTGCACAATTCTCAGTGCAGGCTGCAGCTGCCCATCATCTGGGAGGTACAAGCTGCTGTTCAAGCAATGGCAATCGATGGAGTCACTCTGGTGCCAGCCAGTAGACCTTGCCTGTAGTTGTGGTGACTGTACAGACGTGCACAGGTTACGCAGGGTGCGTTCTCTCTAGTCTTGCTGCAGGAGAGCAATGCCTGGGTTTTTTCATTAACTATTGTTTGACCAGAATGGTGAGCTTCCTTGGTATTGCTTGTTCTAGCAGCTCATATTGGTTATGAGTTGTTTTTAGGAAGCAGTGCAAGTTGGACTTGGGTTGTCCTGGGCTTTTACCTAAACAACACTGTGCTTCTATTATCTACCTTAACAGCGACCAAAAAGCCTCTGTTTTTGTCAAAGGCAGTTCTCAGTAATTCTGTTGTTTCAGTGATATCCCCTGCTAGGTTAGGAGATTTTTGGAGCTGTTTCAGTTACCTGTCGATAACATGAATGATTCGACCCATTGTTGCTTCATTGAAAATTACTTTTATCTTTATAATACAGGTGGGACTGGAAGGGAGAGGAATCTCATTTGTGATAAACACCAAGTTACTGGGTACTAGGGTTCTTTTCTAGTTACAAAATCACTGTTCTTAAACTTTGACAGTTAAGACTGAATTATTGGCATATGTGCATCTTTCAGAAAGATAAGCTGGAGAATATCTGAGGTGAAGGAGTTTGATGTCTTACTTCTGCGGGACAGGCATGTCGATTCACTCAGTTAAAAGTTACTGACACTATTGTGTGGTCAATCTCTAGCTAGCCTTGCCAGATCTTACTCGTATGCTCTGTGGTGGGCATTTTGTTGTAAGCTCTTCCTTTCAGTTGCATGTAATCATCTCACTTTTTTGTTTTTCTTTTTGAAGCTGAAACACCACGTTCTTGTTTTGGGGCCAAAGTTGAAATTTGTGGCATAGTTTGGAGGGAAAACCATTCTGCTGATTTGTGTGAGCATGAAAAACATTTTCTGCTCCTCAAATTTGTTTTGAACCCAGAGTATGTATTTATGTCTGGAAACATAGAAACTCTAGGGTCCCAGTGAAGTAGCTCACAGAGCAGTGGAACTGGCTTACCCACCAGTTGGGACCAGAGCTGGAGCTTGCTTCTCTTGTGGTGCAGAATTTTACATAAGGCTGAGTTCAGTATTTTAACCTCTCACAGGGCAGAAATTTGCCCAGTTCTTGGCTTATTTCTGGGTAGAAGTAAGAACTGAATGGAGTCTGTTACCTAGGACAGTGAAATTTATCAGTGGTTCCCTTCTGTGCAAGTTCACCTCGTCTGCAAACGCGGCTGTGAGAGCACCACACAAATGAGAAATATGCGGTGGCTGCTGGCATCACCGGATCCTGGGAGCTTGGTGCTGGGCCAGAGCTCACCAAGCGTGCACGTGTGGTTGGGTGGCAGGCCAGCTGTGTGTCCTGTGTGCACTGCTGATGTGTGCTTGGGAGTGTAAGGGGTCTTGCAAACGCTGCTTTTTCCGTGAGAACTGCCAAACAGGGGCAAGGACAAAAGCCCGCCTGCCGACTGGAAGAGGCAGAATTCTCAAGTGACAAATGCTTTTTTCCCAGTTCTGTTGCTTCTTATTGTCTAGCTCTGAGCATTCAGGAGCTGCATGAGTTTTGCGGGGGACGTCTCCTGCTGAGTGATGCTTTTGCTTAAAAAATAAAAACACCCGACCCAGACAAACACTTCTTTCCTTGACTGTAGGACTTGTTTTCTGGCCATGAGTGGGTGGGACAGAACTACCTTCTGTGGAAAGGGTCTTGGACTACTGCTGGGCTGCTGAATGACAGCCCTTTGCTGTAAGTGCAGTTACTTGCCAAGCCTGCTCTTTAAGTTTAATCCTGTAAATTCTTGTCTTGTAGGAAGATGACGATTCAGAGACTGAAAAACCTGAGGCTGGTGACCTGAAGGTATTTGAAAGTGTGGTTTGGTGGTGGGGGGGGAGCTCAGTGCAAGAGGTATAAGTCTTAACAGCATGGCTTGGTGTTCGTTTGTGATCTTCCCTAGCTAGTTTCACACTTTCCTTTTTGTAGCTGTAATGTGTTTTGTTGACTTTAGTTCTGGCTTCTGCCACAGGTAGTTAACCAGTTAGGTTCCAGGCTGAGTCATGATCAAGATCTGCATTCATGAACCTGGTCATCTTGTGCATGAGATCTGAGGTAGATTTCCTGACAGCATCTCACCTATTTTGCAGTGATCTGGGAGATGCAGTATTTGGTACAGAATTTTGTAATGACAGAATGTTAGTTGGAATACTTTCTTTGTTTAGAAGAACTTAATAAATGACTGTATGCTCCTAGAGATCATGAAAGGTGTCAAAATCAGCTCTCTTTCTGCCCTTCTGAATGAAGAAGGTTTGTAAAGGTTGTATTTAAAATTTTGGAAGTTAAGTAAGATCCCCAGATGATAGCTATCATAAATAGTTGAAGTTGTCTTTATCTTGGGATTACATCTTGTTTCTGCTGACCAACAGATGTTTAACAGCACATAGGAGCATATATCAGGCTGAAAGCTGGAAGACAGACAAAAGACCAAATCCATGTGAAACTTTATAGGGAGCTGTGGTCAAATGTTTATGCCAGTTCAATCCCCCATGCAATGTAAGCAGTCTTGTGGGATACTGAGTGAGTGACAATTGCAAGGGCCTTTACTTTATCCAGGAGCTTCCTCAAGGATGCAGATGGTCTCTAAGCTCTGCTAAGAAAACCAGAGGACTGTGCTGCGAACTGAAATTCTGTAGAGCATTTGATTAGTGTAGGGCTTTGATCAGACAAGACAAAGGCAAATGAATGTGTTCAGCTTTTCTGCTTAAATGAGTTTTATAGCAGCATCTTCTTCCAATTTCCACAATATTTTTGTTGGTTTATAGTGATACACAGTTGAAAATCTTGGCAGCTGGTGAAGTGCTTGCATCAGTGTGTGAAGTATCATTAATGCTGGAGGCACTTGGAAATGGAATGTATTGTCTCCTTTCCTTATTACAAGAAAAATAAACTACCTTTTTTTTTTTGAAAAGAGGAAAAGGTAATCTCTCGCCTTTATCCTTTTTCTACTTTAAATTTTTGCCATTGTAGCTGGTAAAGCACGCTAGCAAGATGTTTATGTAAACACTGCTGGATTCACATGCGTACTGTGAAAGAAGAATAGATGGGTTTCCTTAAAAGAGAAATCTGGTGTACATCAGCACCACCTCGGTAGTAGGACCCTGTTGCAATCGTACGCGTTTCTGTCTCCTCTCAAAGGGCTCTAGGACTCCAAGGCAATGGAGAAAAGATCTGGCAAAGAGAGAAAGAACAAAATTGGGACTGTAGTAGCTCTTCTCTGACTAATGATGTATTACAGAAATGACAGAACAGTCTGCATTCTTCCAGAGCAGACTTTTGCCCCATAGGATTCTCTGTTACTGAGCACCTGTGAACCACTGAACTGTGTGGCTACAGCTTCAGTATGTTGCTGATGTTTCATGTTGGCTTGTTTAAAAAGCCTCGTGATTTCAGAGTTCTGCTTGCTACTGTCTAGGTGCATTTTGCAGTAGGAACTCTGCAAGAATTGAGAATGTAAATTAAACTTTAAAAAAAAAAAAAAGGTAAAATGTAGCTTCTGCCATCCTAGCGTGGATTTGAGAAGAATAGCAGGGGGGGCACGGCTGAACCTCAGCAGTTTCAGATTTCCAAGAGACAAAGAGAATGGCCTCCTCTGGCCTTCTGGGTGTTTTTGAATTCTAGCGAAGCAGCCAGCTGGCGCCTGGGGAGGAGGCAGGAGCACCCCTTTGCTACACAGGGCGCTTGCGAGGTGCCCAGTGCTGTGCTGGTAGTGGAGCAGGTGTGTTGCTGTGAGCGTTCTGCGGGGTGCTGATGGAGTTGCACCAGCCATGCTGTTAAGAAATTCACTTGGTTTGGGGGGAGACGGAACATCATTGCCAAACTACTTTTACTTGGAGCAGTTGCAAATGTTTCCTATCGCCCGTTTCCACCAAGTGGCAGTGTTCTCCTCGTTCTTCCTCATTGCTCTGGGCTTGCAATATCTGTGACAATTAGTAAGAGTTGCAGTTACTGTAAATTCAAGGTGCGGAAAAAAGTGAGGCACTTGATTATAACTTGCTAACACTTTTGGATAACTTTATTTTATTTTGTCTCAGCTGAGTGCTGTAGCTTTTCTTGCTCTTACCAGTTTCATTATAAGAGATCACAGACCTGGAAGCGTGTTTAAATTGGTATCCCAGGCCCTTTATATGTGGCTGGGGCTTTTTCAGGGTCTGAATCTGACTGTACGCAGAAGGTAAATCTTTTAAAATGCATGAATGAGTTAAAACCGTTGCAATTCATCAGTTAATTATCGTTTTTTCAAGCCCTGAATATACATTCAGCATTTTTTTCTGGTGTTTTGCCTTTTTGTACATATGGTGAACTGCTTTGAGATTATGTTGTGAATAACCAGGCCATTTGAGCCAGGTTGTGTGGAGAAGGAGTTCCCTCATTGCTGGTGCATCCTGTGATGTGGCCTCATTCTGCACTGGGATAGCAACAGATGCAAAACCTCCAGAAGGTTCAGTGGGTGTCAGTTGTGGGTATAGACTGAGGAGACTGGCAGTGGGGAGTGATGTAAGAACTGTAAAGTGATGGTGGGGAGAGTGGAATTTGGAACCTCCTTAAATAGCCCCGATGGGGAGCCGTTTTTCTACCCCTCCTATGGTGTTTACATTTATCTCAGGTTTTTATCTTGATTCCAGGGAGTGTGCCCTTGGTGATCTTGATGAAGGTGCGTCTGTCTCTCTGTACAGCCCTGTTCCCAGCAGAGGCGATGCCCATATAAAGGGCTACATGGGACTGCAGCTTTCCTGGGTTTTTGCTGCCGAGTACCACGTCCCAAGAAGGTTTTCAAGTTCAAACACTGTGATGTCCAATTGCTGTTTTCTCTCTGCCCTCAGAGACAGCTGTTTGGGGGAAAGGGTGCACCAGCAGTAGAAGAATATTTAAGCTTCATCAGTCATCTGAAAGCATTCTTCCAGAGCAGACTTTTGCCCCATAGGATTCTCTGTTACTGAGCACCTGTGAACCAGTCCGCAAGAGTGTGTGCATGCAGCAGAAAGCAGAATCCTCTTCTTTAGCTAGCAAAGTCAGGTATGTTGCACCCTGCAACTGCATTTTGAAGTGCTTCAGATCTAGGTAAAACTAATTACTCTGACAAATTTCCCTCTGGGAGGCTGTGCTCAGGCTCTGGAGCAGGACATGTTTGTTAGTGACCAAAATCACTGCGGAGGTTTTGTTTTTTTTCAGTGAGCAGTCACCAATTGTAAACAACCAGCTTTCTTAAAAGCACTTCAGAAACAAAGCCTACTGCTTAAAAGAGAAAAAAAGTGGTCACCAGAAGCTCTTGGCAAAGGTATGGTGTTAAAAAGATGGAATCCCACAGCCTGGATGGGTTCTTTGTCTTTTTCTGGAGCAAGACATGTTTGTTAGTGACCAAAATCGCTGCGGAGGTTTTGTGAGCAGTCACGAATTGTAAACAGCCAGCTTTCTTAAAAGCACTTCAGAAACAAAGCCTACTGCTTAAAAGAGAAAAAAAGTGGTCACCAGAAGCTCTTGGCAAAGGTATGGTGTTAAAAAGATGGAATCCCACAGCCTGGATGGGTTCTTTGTCTTTTCCTCAGATGATGGCAGTGGAAATGGGTCTGAAATTTGGCGTTGTGCTGGCAGCGTTGGTTTGGAGTGAGGAGGGTTAACGGGCTATGCAGTGAGCGCAGGTTGCTTGGGCTCTGGCCAGCAGCTGGCTGTGGTTACAGCCCTGATGCAGGAGCAAGATACAAGCCCTCAGAGCTCACTAAATGGCCCAGCCCTGCAGGAAGAAGGAAAATGAACCCGAAATGAAATATTGACCTTGTGCTCCAAGTCTCACCTGAGGGGTTCTGCACTTCATCTTGTGGGGCTGGATGAACAACAGCTTGCAAGCGGAGATCAAGGACAGAGCCCAGCCCTGCAGCTTGGCTCACTGGAGTTTTCCCAGGGGGAAATCATTAACTCTTGAGCCTTGATTTGTGGTATCAGGACTAGCCAGTGCAGGAAAGCCGATAAATATTGCCACTCCCTTGGCATGTGAATGCCTGACATGTGGTAACAGTTTTTCAAAGCAGGTGGCTGCTTCAATGGTTTTCTTTTCTGGTTTTGATTTAAGGGTCCCCTCTGCATCCCTGTGACATTGTGTGGAGAGGTGGCCAAACTGGGACCTAGCAGAAGGGTGTCAAATTTTCAGAGGAATATGATGTTTCTAAGCATGTCCTAGTACCACCTCTTGATAATCATCAAGTCTTTGTTACATCTAGCTTTTATTGATCCAGCATACCTGTAAAGTAATTTCACAGTGTTACGATGCGTAGATGTGTGCTAACACTTGGGGGCTTTTGATTGCAATGGTTTTTTATCTTGCCCGCCCATTAACCTGTTTATTTAAATACCAAAATTATCTTGATTTAAAGTAAAGGCAGTAAGTGCTAAGAACCAGTAGATGGGTGTGTGTGCACTAATGTAATGCCTGCAATTAACTCTGTTTTGATAAAGCATATTAATTTTTCTGAGTTCAAAATACATTTATCAAGCCAGATTCTCAAAAGATGCCTGAACCTACTCAGTAACTTTTGCCTCGAGTATAACTGTTCTGTTCTGAAGAAGGGGAGGAAGAGTGTTTGAGAAAAGTTGTTTGGTTGAAGCGCTGTTGTTCCGTTCAGATATTCCCCTGCAAGCTGTACAGAAGGAGCTGGCATTAGTAAGCTTTAGAAAATAATTTGAATCTTTTGCTTTGGCAAATTATGAAAGTTGCTTAGGAAATACCAGCCCTTGATGCTTTCAGTTGTTGAGAGGTAGTCTTAAAAATTCTGTTTAGAATATGTTAACGGTCATATAACTGAAGAACATGT